AGTCAAACTACCCCTGACATTGCTCCAAACCTGACAGTTCACGGTGTCATCTATTCTGTTCGTTGTTTTTCAAACTTAATTTGCGTTAAAGTATGAATATCAAGAATAGGTTTTATTCTTTCTGGCAATACAACAAGTGTGTTAAGATGTTCAACTACCAAATGGATGCCTTTTTCAAGGAATCAAGTCTGCATTAACCACACGTAATTGTGGTAAACGTGCATTGTCTTTGAAACTGATTGGCCTACACCAGAGACAGCCTTCTTTGTGGCCTAGTTTCACCAGCTGTGTCAGAGCAGAGAACGACAAAATGTCAACAAAACAAAGACAATACCACTATCAGAAGATTTATAGCTCGGGGTGAGCAGCTACATCATGGGAGCTCTTTGCCATTTGTATCAGTTTCTTAAATTAAATACAATGTCAAATTATCTCAATGTAACACTGGATTTCGGGATGTCGAGCTCTCATGTCAAATAGACCACCACACTGGAACATATATAAACTGACCATTCCACATATTCTTGGTTCTGTCGGTAAAGTCACGTAGAAGGGAAACAATACAATAATAAAAATATAAAACAATACAATTCTCACGACGTTTCGATTGCAACACAAGCACTCATCATCAGGTGTGAAAAGTTTCTTGCTGTGGTTTTCACACCTGATGATGATTGCTTGTGTTGCAATCGAAACGTCGTGAGAATGTTATTGTTTTATATTTGTATCATTTTATCGTTTCCCTTCTACGTGACTTTACCGAAAGAACCAAGAATATGAATCCCTGCAGTCACGAAAGCTTTAAATCAAAATTTGACCATTCCAGTTTTAAGAATGCACTTACACGCAATTTGACGCTTGTAACTTTGGTGAAATCAATTTCCTTTCCCTATGAGCGACGTAAAATGTGTAAAGTGGGCAATAAATGTAATATTTAGCACGAGTATCAATGTTTTGCGAAATTATCCCCGGTGTTCAACTAATCTGGTAAATGTGGAGTCTCGTTATATATCATTAAATATGTGTTTGATCGTTTTAGCAACTTGAAAAATTGCGAAATAAAAAAGTTGTAAAAGACTAATACTAATCGAGGGACATTTGACCCATGTAAGTAAACTGCAACTGATTTATCCAAGCACACAGGGGCTCGTAGCCTTACGTTCCACAGGGGATGAAGAGGCGTGAGTAAGTAACACTAGGGCTCACCAGGTCCTTTCTGGGAACAAGTATAACCCGTAAAAACAAAGTTTTTCCACTATAAATCCTTTATATGCGTGGCGGCTAGATTCCTCTCGTCCTCTGGCTTGAGATGGCTGCCATCTATGGGTCAGATGATTGCCTGCCAGCATTAAGCAATTGGTAATTAAATATAATATTTTTGTCCTAAAAAGTGTAAAATTTTGGAAAATTTTTTTCACGAACATTAATTGTCACGCACAACGAGTCTGTGTGGAAAATGTCAGCTCGATTGGATCACGGGAAGTGGGTTAAAAAACGACCGAAAGATTTGCACGGTCGTAAGCAAGCAAGCGAACTTAATATAAAGGATTTAAAAAAAAGAGCGGCATTTCGCAGACTACTGCATCAAATCATGCGTACGATTCCGTGTCTAGATTTGGCCACGCCAGAGGATGTCATTTCACAGAGAGGGACGCGTGACTTTATCACGATGCTAAACTTGTCAGCAAATGTTGCGAGATTAAAATGGCACCTTGAAGCTACACATTTTGAGTTGCCCACAGAGTACACGCCACACTGCCGCTCATGGATCTCCAGGTTGAGATGACGAAACACTGTAACTTGGGTTTCCCCAGTCTCAGGCAATGAGGCGTGCCCGATGGGTGCATTGATGATTGACACGTGGAGGCAGCTTGCGATTAATTGGTGGATGATTCACTGATGATTCAGCAATGCTGGGTTCCTACAAGACAATTTCACTGGCGGAGCGAGCTGTGGGCTGGCGTCTCTCACAAGGGGGTTGCCTCAACAGCGTTGCTCGTGACACGATATCAATTGCCACGATATGAAAATTGTCACGATATGAGTTTCCCATACACGTGTAAAAAAAATGTTGCGTTCAGTTTCATTGTCTAGTTTTTACGATGCTTTTCGTTGTACTTCCGGTGCAAATGGAGATTTACTTGAACGTTCTTAAAATGCAGGTCACTCAACATCATCATCCTGCCCTGGGGGGCCGTCCATAAATGACGTCACGCACCTAGGGGGAAGGGGGGTCAGACATTTGTGACGATGTATGACGAGGGGGGGGGGGTGAGAAATATGACGTCACATCAAAATGCGCAACTTTAAATAAATATAGAATTGTTATAACAACACTAATTGTTATAACAACACTCACTCCTACAACATCAGAGTGCAGCGCCACATTAAATACGCACTACAATGCCAATAGTTTAAAGCGATTTGAAGCATGTTTTATTTTCAAAATGGAAATATGGTTTGGGGGGGGGGGCAGAGCGTTGTGACGTCATAGTTGAGGGGGGGTCTGACTTTTTGTGACGCCGTGTGACGAGGGGGGGGGGGGGTAAAAAATCGTCCAAAATCGCGTGACGTCATTTATGGACGGCCCCTAGGTATTTTAAACGTTGCAACGTTGCAGTCCGTCATGCTTCTAGTGCGCATGCTGTCAGTTACACGTAAATCATTAAGCCATTGAGTGAACTATGAAAACTACGCGGTCCTGTCACTGCCATTCAATCATATACTCCAGAAAACATTTGTCAAATTGCTAATTTAATGGGTAAGAGCTATTCCGTTTGTTAAAAAAACATTCTAATTGTGCTTTTGTTATTTCAGAAGAGAAAATGTTAGGCAATAAAATCTGCAAAAAAAACCTATAATCACTACTTTAACGATATTTAGAAGAAAAAAAACGGACGACACGGTGATCATGAACCCTAAATCACGTGATACAGCGTAGTAGTTTGTAGTGGTTAAGCATTGCCGTGTCACGGGAAAACCCTAAGCTGTTCCCACGGGGTCGCTCGCTTACTCCGTCAGCGTCTGAATACAACAGCCCCCCAAACCCCAGTGCCTTGCACCAAACATTTAAAACTCCTTACGCCACTCGCTCACCACTTGGCCCTCAAACCACCTGATGTCAACACCCTGAATGCATCATGGGACCTCCTTTGCCAGTACCAAAACATACTATTAGTATATTTATATACTATTATATATAATAGTATATAAATATACTAATGGTACTGGCAAAGGAGGTCCCATGATGTAGCTGCTCACCCCGAGCTCTCATTACTCTGGTAGTGCGTTGTCTTTGAACTGTGCGCCTTTTGGCGTCATCTGGTCGAACACCAATATGAGACTAGGCTCTAAAGAAAGCTGTCTCTGGTGTGGACCAATCAGTTTCAAAGACAATGCATAAATGATCAGAGTATTGTTTTTTGTTTGCATTTGACTGCAAGTATTGTGGTTAATGTACGCATGATTCCTTGCAAAAGGTGTCCGTTTTGTTGCCAGAAAAAATGGGAAAACCTCTATTAGTGCCCTGAATGCTGCCAATCTCGTCCGAGGTGTTGCGAGCAGGATTGCGCCAGGCTAGCTAACACGTGCCGAGAAAATGCCAGACGTTGAACGTACAGCTTTAGAGAGTCGTGATGTGGCCAGGAATTGAAGGATTTTGCACGGCCGCATTTTGAGTGATTAACTCCGTGCGTACGCGCGGGTGCTCCGGATTTCTTCCCACGTGGCCAATTTTTTTTTGAACGAAAAGGGTCAAACTTCGCCACCCGAAAAGCCGCGAGGCTTTACTCGATTGAAGGGCGTCATCATACAACCGATCAATCCACGGCAGTGTTTGTTTTGCCTTGAACGGAGGGGCCGCCACTGCCATGCGGGCGGGGCCCCGTGTCACTCGCTGCACCGTCGAATGGTGTTGGCGAGACTTCTTAAACGAGTGAGACCCAGGGGATGAGCCGGTCTAAAACACACGCGCGGAACGAGCTACGCAGATTCCCCGTGTCGAGTCAACAGTGTGCGAAAAGACTGAATGAGATCGTGATTGAATGTATACGTCATTAAATGTCGTCGTGAATTATAAATGCTTAATTTAAACATATTCATGGGGGGAAAAGTGAGCATTAGGTGCATATAATTATGAATGCCCGCAATTAAGCTATCCCCTCCCCCCAAGTGTAATGCTAGCCTCGCTATTGTACACATCGCTAAAGTCTTCACCGGAGGTTGACAATCGTAATATTGGAAACACAGAATGCATATCCGATCGTCGTGTCGGGGAATGTAAGGAGAGGGTCCCAGCTATTGGAACCACCGATACGTGTCCATCGCTCTTCACCACGCACACGGAGAGGGCCACGTGGATACACACACACACAGCACGTGTCTTTAAGTCGTCGTCACTAGCAGCAGCAGTAACACACACTTGTTATTGCACTGAGCGCACACACACACACAAATATATATATATAAACACGTACCATAGCGTCGGCTAAGAAAGAGATCTGTCCTGGAAACGTGGATACAAGTTAGGACACGTTTTTTTTGACAATGGCTGGTGTGAGTTATGTACACGTACTGCGTATATACTGTGAAGGGTTCACTTAGAACGAACATGCACAAGTATGAGACGTTGCTGATACATACCTATTACGTGATGCAATTGACTGTTTTAAGCCCTTTTTCGTATGTGTACCCCGAAGCACACAATGTATTTACATCACGCAGTATATATATGCACATACTTGAAATGTACATGTATATACACTAGACTGTAGGGTATTACATGTACATTGTACGGATATATTACACGCACCGTGCTTTCAAAGCTCAAAAACAGAACGTAGAAATTGCAAAGCATGAATTCTCTGTCTATATATTTTGCAAAGCCTAACAAAGTTAATCTTTGAGTGAGCGCACAGTGCGATGTATTACTTATTTGCACTGTTTTTTTTTAAATCTTTAAAACATGTTTAACCCTACATCATTATGAAGTCAGGCAGCTATTTAAAAAAATGTTTATTGCATGGATTTTTTTGTTTAAGTCAATATGATACAATATATACAGGTGCAGGCAACCTGATTAATAAATAATAGTCACGTTAAGTTATAGTGCAATCATAGGCTACAACTCAACTTAAAAAAGAGCTTTTCTAATCAATTTGAGCCATCGAGTTAAAACATTCCTGCTGATGCTTTGTTACAGTACCTCCCCCAGAAATACCCATGAACAGCAGTTCACGTGAATGTCATTCCAGGGAATTGCCATCTCTTTAAAGAGTTATGTAATAAAATGTATGTGTGTGTCTTTTAAAAAAATCTATTCATATCATCTAAACATTTCATAGTCTATAGTTGTATCTTTTCTACGTGTTGTAAGTTTTCTGTTTGACCGGTCCTAGAAGGATCTCCCAGTGGAATGAATCGAACAAAATAACTTAGAATTTTGTTCCGGAGACAGAAGAAAAAGCAATATTGCTCTTGGTATACTGAGAAAAAAATTGTTGTGGTAATTGTTTTGTTTGAATCAATTGATTCACGTTACATTTTCCCATTTAAATAAAATAAACCCTTTCTAAGTGCGTTTGCTTGTATGTTCCACACCTAATCTGTCATTGACAGCTTCACTCGCTGTATTTCACAAACTAGGTCATCGTTTTTTGGATTCTTCAACGTTTCAGCAACCCGATAAACACCGCTGATGGTTTCTGCCCCCTCCCTCCCAACAAAAAAAACTAATGGGATAATATTACACCGTAACAAAAAAAAATCTAACAGCTAACACTTATTATTTTCTACAAAATATTGTGCAACATATCTCTTTTTTGTTAGTTGGCAAACCAATTTTTTTCGTCGTATAATCTTCCAAAGGGGCATTCGATAAAGACCTTGACGGGGTGGCAGGTTTTTTTTTACGCGCGGAAACATCGTCGGGAATTTCAGAGACGTTAACTTTATCAACTGGGATCAATGCAAAGTAACTCTAATTAGCATCACGTATGAAGTGGAGAAACTTGTAACTTACGGTATTTATGCGTACGTCTGTTGAACATTCTCTGGGTTGCATTTACGAGTATTTCATAAAAGTGGCGAAATGTACTTCCATTTGTGTTATTACTACTACACGTGTTATTAACACACGTCATTTATATATATATTTTATAAACTACATTTCTACGCTTACTTATTACGCCGGTGAGTTTCATTATCACGTATTTAGATTTCCACGGCATAGCAGCCGAGAGAAACATAACATGGATTTTTTGTTGTTGTGCTGTTCTACAAATGCGGGATCTGTATGAGCTCTGACTGACTGCCTTTCGTCAACCAAATTGTGAAGCAGCCAACACGGCACCTCTGGCACGCCAGCTTGACCTCCTCCGAGTTTAGAGATGCACACAATCGGCGGGTGGAAGGGTACCCACTGCTTGGGCCCAGGTTGTTTCGATTAAGAGGTCAGTCGACGCGGCCCCCTTCCCCTCTCTTCCCTCCAGAGCCGCATCCAAAGCAGCACCAACAACAACAACATCATCAACAAAGCTCTGCTGATATTTTCTAACGCACGCGCTGTTGGATGCGATAAGGCGCGTTCAAGTTGGTCGACGTGAAATGAGGGCAGCTTATAGAAATATACACTTGTGTCTCCAAAGAGACGGGTTTGGTTAAGCAATCATAATTCATTTAATGAGCATAACTCACGATTGTTAAGAAAATATTAAAACAAAAACAGAAATGACGTTGACGCACAATCCTCTGTGTTCTTGAAGAGTTGTCCTATCGCAGGTCGTTTTTTGTTGTTGCAATGAGCGCAAGTAGCGTTGGTCACAGCAAACCTCCAGCACCTGCTGCTGTTGGTGGAGCAGAAATGAGTTGCATGACTGGCCCTGAAATGTAGACCTCGTAGCTTCGAAGCAATGAGCCGGGATCCAGTGGGCTGCATGCACTTGCGCAGTGTGCACATGCAGTCAACACAGCGCACTGTGGAAACAACTGCATTCGGCATCCTCACCGTGTGAAATCCCAGTCGCTCTTATATACAAACATTGCATATTCCCTTAGATAAGTAATACATCCAATCCACACGTGTTCGTCTTCTTTTTGTTTTGTTTTCCCGGTGTATTAAAGTGTGCAATTTCCACGCAAACGCTGTCCTTGGCGTCAGCAGTTGTTGTCAGTAGATAAACACATCTGCACGCCACCGCCGCCGCTGCCTGTCTTGTTTATAGTGGACAAACCACTGTGGACTACAGTGAGTGATCCCGCCGGCTCTGGGCAATGAGAGCTGTTTAGCGCGAGATATTCCACGCCACCAAGGCAGCCAGCATTCTCACGCTCGCTCAGATTCCTTGCTCGGAGCACACGCAAAACAAAGAGTCTAATTCAGGTCAAGTGTGCCACAACGGTGCGTTTCACCAAAAGCATGTTTTTTTCGTGTTTTTCGTTATAAATCTAAAAATAAATACTTTACTTAATCATACACATTTAGGAAAACGAAGGTGATGCTGCGCTGGTCCCGTTGATGACGCCTCCCTCGGCTTGAATTGCTCGGCGGGCCTCTTGAGAGAGACCACGGATGCTGGTCCACGACGTTTCCTCCGACCCACGGCAGCCGGGGTTCACTGCATGCCGCTGCGCAGGATCTGATTGGCGGCGATGAGCATGACGCTGATGATGAACGCCACGGCGAACGCGCAGATGAGGCTCTTGCGCACGCACGTTTGCCTGTTCCGCCTGCCCGGGTAAACTGCAACAGAAAGAGACGTTTTTTTGTTTAACGCTCAACGTGTTCGCGGTCAGACAACAAACGCTCACAGCGGACACACTCCACTTGGCTGGCGGGTACGCGCACAGAATTCATGTGACAAGTGGATGACGGAGGAGTGGATTGTGGGTAAAGGTGGTTGTGTGCACGTGATCGCGCCCTTTGCCAACGAGTGTGTAGGAAATTGCGTTCAGTCGTTGCAGCACGGATGGGACTGAATTTTGTGCAATAGCGGCGTGAACACCGCTGGATTGCGATTGGCTTGTGGCGGGCGGGAGGTCGTTTAGTCCGCGTCCTGTCCTCCAGACACACATGCAAGGCCGGCACATGGCTCACAGCTTAGAGCCGCGTGGAGCACTGAGAGGGTGAACAGGAGTGCTGTATCTGTGCTCGTGTAGCGGTTAGCGCACTGCGCTCACTAAACTATTTGAAACTATTTTTTTAGTGTACCAGGTGAGGCGCCCACTGAGCTGTATAGCTCTTGTTCAGAAACGACCTGGCCACAAATGATAAACGAAGTGGCTTGTCACGTGGAAATTAATAGCAACCAAATGCTCTTTGTTTTTTTCGGTAAAGTCACGTCGGTAAAAACACTTGTAAGTGTGCGTGTCTTTGGCCGCAACCAAGAGTCTCTCCATCGACCAGCTCCGTCCCACCTCGCCGATCAGCGGCGTACCGGCTTCTACAGACACAAATCAACTCCCGACTACGACCCGTGCGTGGCTCGCGGCGACCCACGCGCTCTGCTCGCGCGTAAAACCTCGCGCGTAATACCGCCAGCTCACTGCGAAAACAACACCGTCGCCTTTGGCGAGTTTGGACATTTGCACCACAAAAACATGATGATAATGATGATGATGCGTTCAACCACCTCCTCCAACCGCTATGTCCTCACTAATCCACTCTATCCACAACTTTCCACGAAGAACATTCACGCAATTATTATTTTTTAAACAATACGTATAAAAGAAAAAATAAGGAACATCATGATAAGAGATTGTTCATGGGTTTGGCCAATAAAACTCTAATGCAATAAGCAAATCGTGCCAGCTTTGCCCTTGTTTATTGATCGTACAGATTGTGCATTAATAAAGATATCAGCACAAACACGAAAGAGTGCAGAGGTCCTCATTACACACCTTCACGAGACCACAGAGCATCGATCGGGGTCACTCTTGGGAATGATCCCAGCAGTTTCCACTTTTTAGCTAGGCCTCTCTTACCACACCCACAAGCATGGCTCCCTGAAAGAGTTTCATTTTGTTTAATATGTGTTGAGAGAAATGTTCATCCAAATATAATAGAACTGGGGTAAAAGGGATTATTAGCTGTAAATACATGACTGTGATTATTTGATGGTATTTTTTGTTCAGCAATTACTGACAGTCCTGAAAACAATCAAAGAAGTCACTTATTAAGATGGGGTGACTTCTAGAATTGAAGCTTTCGTGACTGCAAGGATTCATACTCTTAGGTTTTTTCGGTAAAGTCACGTAGGTAAAAAATAAAATTAATAAAAGTAATAATAGAAATAAAATAAAATAAAAAATCACGACGTTTCGAAGGCAACACAAGTCTCCGTCATCAGGTGGGACCGTCACAGCTAAATTTACTGTATCAAGTGAGGCAAAACATTTCAAGATACAGTAAATCTAGCTGTGATGGTCCCACCTGATGACGGAGACTTGTGTTGCCTCCGAAATTTCGTGATTTATTATTTTATTTGATTTCTATTATTACTTTTATTAATTTTAATTTTATTTTTTACCTACGTGACTTTACCGAAAAAACCTAAGAGTATGGGGTGACTTCACGTGGTCATCTAAGCACTTGAACCAGGAAAAATATTTCAAAATCGTTTGTCCCTGTGCTGTGACAATGGGCATTACGCCTGAGCCACTCGCTCATGTTTAACTTGCGCACAATTTTACCACAGCGCATTCAAAAGATCACAATTATATAAATCTGAGTAAAGTTCAGAAATGCATTTTACCAAAATGAGCACAATGTTTCAGGGCTGATTTAACTTTCTCTTTCCGGGACGCAGTCAGCAATGAATTTGAATTCGTGCGCTCTGGACTGTGTAGCACTTCGCGAAAATGCCCTTGGCAATGCAAGGTCACGCGAGGAAACATACAGCAAGCTGACTCCTGTACTTTTTAAACGTACGTTCCGAATGCGTTCTTTGTATTATGGGCCAAGTAAAAATACATATAAAATGTATTTTTGTGAATGGAGGGCTCTAGCAAGGTATGTCCGTGGGATAAAACAGAAAATAAGGATGTATTGAGCCACTATTGGGAAAAAAAACCCACTTTCAAGGTCCAAGGCACACATTTTTCTTCATATCTGTAAGTTATATAACAGCTCTGAAGAATAAAACAATATACATCTCACGAGCGTCACGCCTGTTCATCTGCATTCAAGTAAATACGAAGGTGAGACGAGATTTCGGCAGAAAAGTTTTAAATGCAAAAGGGCCCCTTTGCACCCTTTCCCAGATCCCTTTGCGTCTCAGCTCACAGTTATGGGTGGTGGTGGTGGGGAGGGGCACGGATGTTGGCTCAGAGACATCGCCCACCACTCCCTTTCCCCTTGAAACGAAGTCTCCCCACCCTGTTCACTCCCCCCGCCCCCACTTCACAAAGCGCACCGTTCTTAATTTTGGAGCTTTCGTGACTGCAGGAATTAATCTTTCGGTTAAGTCACGTCTAAAGATAAAATAATAAATTAAAATAATAGCAAATTACGACGTTTCGATTGCAACACAAGCAATCATCAGGCATAAAAGAAATAGCAACAAAAAATCTAACTAGAAAACTATAGACAGACATACAAGCAGACAGACATCACAAGGACACACAGAGAGAGGACACATATTGGCACAAAGAGAGGGGTCGTTTATTTAAGGGACCGTCACAGAAACGACCCCTCTCTCTGTGTGTCCTTGTGATGTCTGTCTGCTTGTATGTCTGTCTATAGTTTTCTAGTTAGATTTTTTGTTGCTATTTCTTTTATGCCTGATGATGATTGCTTGTGTTGCAATCGAAACGTCGTAATTTGCTATTATTTTAATTTATTATTTTATCTTTAGACGTGACTTAACCGAAATAACCAAAGAATAAACCGCACCGTGTTTAGATTATGCGCGTCCACTCCATGAAGCAATTCCTTCAGCTGTTTGCAGTCCTCCAGGTCAAACAAAACTGCGAGGGGGTGTAGAAATGCATTAAATTAATTGTTCAAATGGAATTACCGATTTATCCATTAAAGCCGCAGCGAGTCGTATGAATCCTTCAGGAGGGTCATGCATTGTCTTTTTTTATTATTGTAAGCTGCTTTCAATAAATTAACGATTAGTGTGTTCATTATATCAGTGGGAAGAAACCGGAGCGCCCAGGGAAAGCTCACACGTGCGGGAAGGCAACATTCTATCCCCGTACAGATGGAAACAGATGGCGATTAGTCCACTTGCTGTACCGAATACTCTTTGTTTTTTTCGGTAAATATCACGTCGGTAAAAAATTATAATAAATTAACTCACGACGTTTCGGAAGCAACACAAGCCTCCGTCATCAGGTGTAACAGCAATTTGACCGGAGCAGTTACACCTGATGGCGGAGGCTTGTGTTGCTTCGAATCGTCGTGAGTTAATTTATTGAAATGTTTTACCTACGTGACTTTACCGAAACAAATCAAAGAGTATGAATCCTTGCAGTCACGAAAACTTCAAATCTAGAATTTGCTGTACCGCCTACGCCTGAAGAGCCAAGGTGATGGCACCTCGATGCCAACAGGAAAGGGAGTTTCACAACATTTGTGTGACCCACCAAACCCTCGCTGCCTCTAAAAGTGATGGTTTACAGCAGCGGTCGGGAACCTATGGCTCGCGAGCCATATATGGCTCTTCCAGTGACGGCATATGGCTCCCAGACAATTTTGAGTTGAAAAAAAAATTAATAATAAAAAAATCAGTTTGGAACTGATTTTAAAATACTTGTGATATTGCTTAATAATACTGTGTCATTTTAAAGTAAACAGAAATTAGTTTTGAAGATAAATTTCACGGGTCACGCCTGCATGAAGCTCAACCTCACCACGTATGAACCAGACTACAAGGCCATCAGCAAAACCATGCAGCACCAGAAGTCGCATTAAAAGTAAGACATATTTAATTTATTATACGTAAAAAATACTATATGGCTCTCAATAAAATATATTTAGAAATATTTGGCTTTTATGGCTCTACCAGTCAATAAGGTTCCCGACCCCTGGTTTACAGGCATGTGCCACCACCAATGGGGATAGGAGAACCAGATGTGAAAACACAAACAGATGACGTCAGCACGTCTGTTGGTGAGGTGGTACCAAACATCGCCTTTCGAGCAAAGCGTCCAAACTCTGGAGAACGAGTGAATCGGAGGCAGGGGTGTGAGGGGAGTTTTATTTAGGGAGATGACGGGGAGAAGGGAGATGTGAGTCGACTCAGGGCAGTGGTTCCCAAACTGCGCTCCATGGAGCTGTGGTGGGGCGTGAGGCTACTAATACATGGGGGGGGGAGGGGGGGGGTCCGTGTAAAATAAGAAAATAACATCTTCTTGGTGCTTTCGGTAAAGTCACGTAGAAGGGAAATAATAAAATAATAAAAATAAAACATAATAAAATAATTCTCACGACGTTTCGGCCACAACACAAGCAGCATTAAAAAGAAAGATTAGATTTAAGAAAAAAAATGTAATTGTCAGCCACACTTATGAAGCAGGATAAACCCAGTCACGTGGTCCTCTCATCGCCAGCATCGCAAGGGCAACACGTGACACACCACAAATAACCAACGCGAGTTGGTGTAGCAATGGGAAGCTTCGTAGCATTTCATTATCTCCACGTTAGCTGCTGGCTTTACACCAGATCTTGGGAGCCATTTGTAGCAATGGTCCCGATGAGTGCACTAAAATGACAACACAATGCCATATGCCATCTTC